AACATGTATTTCTCTCTCGCATTGCTATTGCATAAAATAAAGGGTGTGTCTCATTCGAAATGAAACTCTTGATTAAATTTTACGTGAGATCTACCTATATATTGTATTTTATGAATAACATCGTTTGAAATATACACGACCGATGACAATGGTACTCTTCAATGACGAAACAAATGATCACAGCACCGAAGAACAGTTGCGGATGACCTACCACTCTTTTTTATCGCTATACTATCATGAACTATGCTGAACTGTCACTGCAGCAAATTGACTTTCGCACATCACTCATCTAGGTACATCAAGTATCGCGACCCCCATATGCAGTCAAGATTTAAATACCTAGAACATTATCATTATTTATACCTATTGTATGCGTTTCTTGCTGTACATTATTACCTGCGAATGTCTTTTCACGGAAACATAGGTAGGTAGGTAGACTTATTATTTGATGGTTATTTATTAATCCCCTTGTCAGATATCCAAACATCATTTAGAGAGCTGAGCTCCAAAATGTACCAAGAACCAAGATGAACAGAACTCGACAGAAGAATGAAGGATCCAAAGACAGTTTGTACTTTGTAGGATCTAAACCATCATTTGAGATTGAGATAAGTAGTAGTGTCATAGTCGACGGTGGCGGATTTAAGGCACAGTATGTATACCTATTGTGGGGGCGGCCAATCGTGAAAAAAAAATGGATTGCCAAGAATTGGGTAATTTTAATTAATGATTTTGCTGCGCTTAAGTGCAGACAAGTTTCGTATAACACATTGTTAAACACTTAGTACATCTATCTTGTATAAACATGCATGTATACTTTATACAAAGTCAGTTGAACAGATCATCAAACGAATGTCGGGCCGCGCTGCCGCACTCTTTGAACTTTCAAAGGGACCGACGGCTGGCGGTGATCTGTTTTTCCAACTGACTTTGCATAAACTATACATAGTTGAATAAAAAAAAACATTATCTGTGAAATCTAGTAGCCGTTATATAGTTAACTAAATTTCTGAATTGTTTTCTTTAAAAGTTGGCAAAAAAAAAACGTTCATGGGCTGGGCCCTATAGGGAGGCCAAAACTGCGGGTGTCTAGGGTAGTGTCTAAGATACTTTCAGGATATTACAACAACAAAAATCGAATCCATTCGGCAGCCTGAATAAGAATGAGATCCGTTAACGAAATATTGTCTGCTGAAAGCTGAAAGGGCACTTAAGAAAGTTCTTGTAAGAGGAATAAGAAGAAGAATGCAGGTTCTGGGAAGAATTAAACACTTTCATAAACATATATGTACTTACAGAATGTGCTACCTAATAAAAACCCAAAGGAGTACAACTCCTATAGAAAAACAAAAAAGTTGGGAAGGTCACTTCATATCTTAAAACTCCTTGCAAATAGGATATATATATACATGTAAAATGAAAGTAATATCGAGGGAACTGTAAAGAGACAAGGAATAGATTATTGGACATAGCCCTCATGAAGAAATAACCGTAGACACGTGTTTCGGGCTTTCGGCCCCCATCAGTACGGTGAAAAAGTGTGCAACAGGTGGCAACACTTGGTGGAAGAAGAAACAACAAATTGACGGAGTCAACCTGTCAACAAACAGAAGCCAGCCGCACATTTGTGGTTTCGGTCAGCAGACCCTGATGAGGTCTCAGGGAAACTGCTAACGTAATAATATACATATATATATGTATATATGATCAATTCAAAGAAATTTATATTCGTCATCTATTATTGTTGCTTCGCACCCTCTCAAAATTTCCATGTGACGTGAGAACATGGGTTGAGTGATACCTACCTACTCCATTCGACATTTGAAAGTTGTTGGCGGGGTACAACACCAAATTTTGTTCAAATTGATAACTATTTTCATCTCAAGCACAAAATCTTTGCAAAAATACTATATAAAGGCGAATAATAGTGTAGAGGCGAATTATACTGCAGAGGCAAATAATACGGTGGTGGTGAATAATATAGCGTATATTGTAACGTATAGAGGCGGTTATTAATGTGGAAGTCGATAGGGACTGCTATTTCAATGTTCTTTCAAGGCTCTGATTACCTTCATTGACGTGATAACAAAAGAGGAAAGACTTATTGATAAACTAATAATTTATTGTTATGTTGGCTGGTTTAAAAAGCCATTTTCCTCAGCTAAACGTATTATTCTGTTCGGTGTTTTGTCCATTGATGCGATTTCATCGCATTGTTGACTTATCAACGATGAAACGTCCACCGATGCGACTTCAGTGTTTTGATAACTATATCGGTGATGACATATCCACCGATGCGATTTCGGCGTACCTACTAATAACATCCCAGTAAACACAAACATCCCTGGGATGTCACATTCATGTCTCGCTAGGTAACAATGCGAATTTCAATAAAACGTCATTGGTAATGGTAGGGGACTCTTTATTTCACAAAACATTCGCAATTTAATTGATGTGATATTGTTTGTGGCGCCTGTCTTGATACGATGCAGTCGGTTAGAATTCAAAAAGTCCAAAATGCGTGTGTAAGATAAGATTCATTTATGGTCTTAGATATAGAGATCACGTAACACCGTTCATAAATAGAATGGGGTGGTTGAAAATGTATAATAGGAGAGAACTTAATTTTTTCACATTCTTATTTAAACTTAACGCCCACTTATCTCTTATATAGATAAACTACAATACAGACAACAAGCTCACTCAAGAGACCTCCGTCAGCTTTCTATACCCTTTCATAAACTTCCTTTTTTGAGCGATCCTTCTCATACCATGCCGCCGTATCCTATTACTCTATTGATACACATTTGAAAAGTCAATCTCTTACTACATTCAAGAGTAAGCTCAAGCAATCATTCATCGGTAAACAATGAGTCCTCAATCACCTGATTTTTCATATTCTTATCTTCAGTATTATTATTATAATTATCTTATTTCTTTTACATATTATTATATAGATTATTATCATGTATCATTATTATTGAACTATGAGTTTTTCTTTCTTCAATTTGTAGACTAGATGAATATATATAATGAAAGTTTTTTTATAAATATGTTCAATGAACAACTTTGTAACTTTCAAACTTGGTTGAGTGGAAGAATAACGTAAGCTAAACTCTGCCAAGAAAAATAAAGACCATTATTATTATTATGATTATATTCGTCACATTTTATTCGATTCGAGACTTGAAATGTAGTTGAATTTGTGAGGCTCCACAACCAAGAGACTCACTGAAACCTCACATTCCTGTCAATTTATGTAACAAACGGAATCAATCAATTCTGATATTGAATGAGGAGTCGCTTAATATGTACTGTGAGTTTCATTTGGCATCATAATGTGAATAATAAAATGACCAAAAGGGCCCGGAATAACAGTCATTGTGATTTCAGTGGGACTCAATCTGTGTTAACTGGGATCGGAGGTATATGTCCACTTTTCGGCATTTTGTCCATTCGGCTTCATGCCCAGCGAGCACAAAAACATCTCAGAGATGTTAAAAGTACGAGATTTCGAGACATTGAACCTCCACTGCGATGTTCTGTTCACACATGAATAGAACTATTATAGAACAGCCAATGTCCGCCGCAGGCGGCAATTATCGAGATGTCCTTGATATGTCACAAAACTACCTTCTCCCTAGTTCTTTTTAAAGCCTTTTCATGGACACAACAGATTATTTTCAACGCGTCTTGCGCACATTAAATCGCTGTGAAAAAACTATTTTCGAGGTACTTTTCTGAAGCCTTTTGTCAAAATGAACTTTTGCATTAGGATTCCATTTCCCTTGAATGAAAAAATGCATTAAAAATAGATTGAACATAAAAATATTTTCTTGATATGAAATTACCTTCTTAATCGGTTTCTGAGTAGTGCTCACTACACACAGACATATAATTGGACATAGGTTTCCCAATTTTTGAAATGTTCTCCACAATGCATAATTTTGCAACTGCGGAGAAGCTGTGTATTGATGAATTCGTACTTTTATATATTGATTACACTGAGGCACCGAACAACACATCTTGCATCTGATGGTCATTATTACAAACTAAATAAGTCTTCTAACACAATAAACTTCACCAAATTCCTTTCTGTTCGTTAGCAGCGTGATGTAAGCGTGACACGCTGCAAACGCGAATGCCAATTGCGAACAAGAAAATCGAAAACAAATCAGAATTCATCGTATTGTGACTTAAGCATGAGACGTTGTGGTGGAGCAAACAAAGAAAGAGCACAAAAAAACAAAAACAATACTTTCAATATCCTTCTAAGACCTCTTTGGGAAGTGCATATTACCCTCAAAAAAACATCCTCATGCCTACCTTTCTAAAACATCCCAAAACATCCCAGGGATACCTCTCAGTAGGCAAACAAAGAAATGCCACAGAAGAACAAAAACAATACTTCAATATCCTTCAAAGACCTCTTTGGTCAGTGCATATTACGTCTCAAAATAACATCTTCATGCCAACATTTTCAAAACATCCCAAAACATCCCAGGGATGTTTGTGCTCGCTGGGTGTCATGTCTGTCATGAGTGTCATGGGCTCTGGCCAAGAAACACATCCGGGATATTCACGATCCAGTGATATTGGATGATCCGCCGAATTGGTCTTTTTGTCTGTGACCTGCAAAGCAGAGCGTGGCGCATTCGATGGGACAGGTAGAATAATGGTAGAATGGACGAAGAGCGGCGAGCTGAGCGATTTTTCAGACACAGTCTCGACTCGGCGCCTTGCCTTGCTGGAGTGTACGATCGTGCGGCGCGTCAGGTCAGCAGAATCGTTCGTCTCTATCGCAGATCTATACATTGCAGCTTGCAGCCTCTCTGCTGCTCTGTGCTGCCGTGGGTTGTATAGGTTAAGTTAAAAACACTTTCACTTCCACTCTGTTATTCACATGTGCTTTTGACGTTTTGAACCCCATCGAAAATCCTCCAGTTCTAAAAATACCTTAGGTATACGCTTATTTTGGAAAATGGCTCAACTCGAACTCCAGTTGAACAATCCTTGTTCACCTCATCAGTTAAAACAATTGTGTCATTATGCAAAATGAGTATTTGAATAAAAATCTCAAATAAAGGTAGGTGGTACAAGGTGTGTGTGTGTGTGTGGACTCATGTTAATTTGAGGTGATTTTAGACAAGAAACCCGCCCAAAATGGATGAAGACGATATATCCGTACGAGTGGCTGTGAGGTAAGACTTTCTTCATTCAAAATTTATTCATCCTACCTAATTTTTTTTTTTTTCACTATATTCAGAACGAAAAAAAATTACTTCATTTGCCACCAGTTATTGACTTATTTCCTCAGTTCCACCTAATTGTTAACGTTAATTCAATGTTATCTCATTTCATTTTAGGTAATAATTAGGTAGTTATTACCTACAAATATGATATAACTATTTCGACATCAAAATACTATAAGGATAAAGGACGAGTAATAAAGTACGAAAACCTTACATGTCATGTCACAGTACAAGTTCTTTTGATCCAGTTAGGTACCTTTTTACTTTTACCTGTTCGACAGGTATATCGAGAATCTCTACCTACCTGTTTTTCTATTGTTTTCCCCTAATATAGGTACTAGTACCAGTAGTACCATAACCAACGAGGTACGTTACGTAGACATTACCTACGTATTTGAAAGACCAGTTCTAGAAGATATCCGACTGACTAACATTTTAGTCAAACACAAAAGAGGATCATGCTTTCCAAATAAAGAGGTGACGGCGCAGCTCAGACAGCTTCACCGTTTCGCTCTTTTGATCGCCAAATCCAGAGACTACAGAAGATAATTCAGTAATCTTTGCCAAATCACATCAGTTGATTTAAAGGTATCAGTGATTGATATTCTCGATTTTGATTTTGACTAGCTCTTTCCGAAGACAGAAATCTTTGAATGTCTCGCTGAATTACCATGGATTATTGAGTCGTCCCAATATGCTTCAAGCAATTTGAAAAAGTGACTGAAAAAATGATACAAGGTGGCACAAATTCGGGCAAACATGTCCGAACCATCAGCAGTTAGGTATTACTATGTTTACTGAACGCCCTTCACAAAACAGTGGACCTCGAAGACGACATTTCTTCTTGGAAATGATAAATGGGCATGTGTCCTGAAGACAACACAACTCCAAACGAGTTTCGAGTAGTATCTATTATGGTTTCTGGAGCAGGTGTTTCGTTTTGATGTAACGAATAATTCAACGATTCATTGAATTCACCAAAAACTGCACACTCTATTTTGATTAATTCAATATCCTATATAGCATTTCGATTCACCATGTTGCCAAATCGTTATCAGAAAAAGCATTATTCGCGTAATCAAAAGGAATAAGTAACTCACATTTACCTGATAAAATTTTATGTGGGTAATAATATATGTTGTTGTCTGTTACAAAACAGCAGAACATACACAATGGGTTTATCATATCTTGTATTATGATCTCGATTATGATATTTGAAACTCCTTAGGTAATAAAAACCTCAAAAAATACAACAGGATGACTATAAAACAGGGTTTAGGGAATTACAAATATCATTAATTTTATCAATATTCATTCGCATTACCTATCATTACTAATAACAAACAACAAACGCTTTTTGATTGCCTTCAAAATAGTTGTAAGTATCAGCAATAGTAGTGTTTTTCTCGTTTCTAATACTCGGAAAATAATGAAGAGTACTACCTTCTCTGATTCAGACAGTCAATACTTACTTGATACAAAAAAACATTGCACAAAAACAATATTGGTCGAAAAAAAATTTCAAAAACTAACAAAAAAAAAAACAATATGTGAAAATGTATATGTATGCCCTCGTGTATGCCTAACCATTTCAATTTCAAATTAGAATCCATTCAATATAATTAGGACTGAAAACCCTCAAATATCCTTGAATTGGAGCCAAACTACTGAAAACTCTAGTCTCTAGTCTATCCCTGCTTGATTTACTTCACCTTATTGCAGTTCAATCGCTGCCTGAAAATTTATTTTTTCAGCGTTTCAGATATATTTCGAGATATATTTAGAAAAAAAAAACTTAGAAATACCCACCCTTTCTCATAAGCTTTTCTTCTATTTTTGGTCGTTGAAATCGCTGATGAAGTATTGCACACCCAGGAGTGTATAATCCTCGGTATAATCTTTGATACCAGTAAATCCCGAGTTAAATCCACATTATTTGAAAAACTGAAATAATTGAAAAAACCAAAAACAGAACAGAAACCAAGTAGAAATCTTCAATAACCTTTTTTCTTTTTCAAGGAAAGTCTAACTGACTATCGATTGAATTCCTCTTTTAGTTTATACTAATAGTGGCATTCTGGACACAGTGACATTTTTGAGGAAGAAAAATACAGTGATTTATTTACGCCTCGACTTACGCATACCTATGCATGACCGGCAAATGCAACTGAATGTTCCCCAAGGATCTAATCCTCGATCCAATCCCATCATAATAATTGACAATAATTTGTTTAACGATGTTTGGAATTCTATATTTTTATCAATTTAAGACCTTGTGCTGAATTTTCACCTGTCAGTATTATGAATGGAGTGTTTATAATAAATGTTGTGAGAATAATCTGTACTGAATTGTACAAGACTACGAGTATGGTAATTCCAATTAAAAATAACTAAGCAGTAGGTTCCAACAGTTCTTGCATCATTTCAACATCTAGTGTGTTGTATAAGCGAGTATCAAACCATCAATCCCAAAACACCTGACGGAAATTTCGAGGAAAGTTTAGAATACATAGAAGAATACATTGAGGACCGAGTTGAGGACAATAATTTAGTAGTCCTGTTGCATGTTGATATCGATGGTCGAGTCGATGGTAATTCGAGAAATGCCTATTAGTCAATTATTTGATAGAAGGAACTATATCGGAATCATTTGATTTACTTTTCTATCGTTTTTCTATATACCTACATTTTCCTACACGGCAGGTATTTACATGGTCTGTATATTTTGTTTTTACACAATAGTCGTTTCTACAACCTTAACCCTAATAGAATGTATTGTCATTTGATATTTTCAAGGTTCATGGTTGTTTAAGAAGATTTACTTCGCATAACAAATGGAATGTAGAACTTTTTCTTTGTTGTTGAGCTCCTCGAAGAATTAGTTTTATACGATTTCGCCACGCATTCGTATTTCTTATTCTATCTTGAGCACTGTGGAACCAATCTTTCTATGACCAGCCATTTTCATGCGTGAGAAACGTTTGATAATAATATAATATGTCGACTTCTGTAGTCATGGCAATGACATTTAGTGAAAGGTTACTTTCCTAACTTATTTCTGGACATAGTAGGAATCGAAAGGTCCTAGAGCATATCCGAGAACATAACGGTAACATGAATTGAGAATTTCAATTATCCCGAGAATTATCCGAAGTGAGTTCAAAAAAGAATTTACAAATGTTTGCCTATAATATAATATGTATGCACAAAAGTGTTGTCAAAATATTAGTTATCCCATTTTACTGATATACGTAGTATAGCTAACTAAGAGTGCCTTCTAAAATAAAATCAGTAATCTTTGATAAAATGTACATTATTTGGGATCGAACTCGGGATCGAATATCGAGGGGGAAACAACAACTCTTTAAATAGGTGGAAACCCTGAAATTTTCAGTACCTAAATATCATTTTCAATACAATATGTAAGTTTCGATATGCTCTTAAGTACTTCAAATACTAGTATTGAGTATTCAAAATATGCTTTGAATCTCGCCTTAAATACTTTTATACTCTTTTTGAGTATACATGATAATTAAATATGATGTACACATTTTGGGCAGTTGTTTCCCCCTCGACGAATATAAAGCGTTGTTGAGAAAGTCCCATTTTCCGGAAAAAAAAAATTGTCCGACCACAATCTGGTAAATGAAACTGTCTGTACCCTGTCTACCTTGTTGAAGTAATAGTATTTCTGATTGTTCTGCTAGACACTCTGATAGACACGGATATACATTAATAAGTACAAAAAATAGTTATGAATGTAGAGCACAAATTTCAACCTGATGTTTTTTTTATGTTCTGGTTCCCACGAAAAGGGATATCCTGTAATGTTCAGAAGATGGTCTTCTTGAATTTCTGGAGGTTATATGCCTCGGGGAACACCTCCCTTGGCAATGTGTTCCAGAGCCTCGCTGCTCGTTGGATGAACGAGTCTTTGGTATGTTCTGCAGGTCTCCAAAGTGACCACAAAGGGGTGCGAAGCCTCAACTCGACGGGTTAATCTCGAGGGAACTGCCAAGGGAGGAATAATTGTTGATATTTCAGAAGAGCACCGTCCATGAAAATATCTATGTAATAGTGCCAGATCGCTTTTCTACGGTGTTCCTGAGAACTGAGTGAGTTTGTGAGCGAGGCATCACCTCGGGCATCACCCACGAGACGAATTGCCCTTTTTTTGACAGAATCAAACAGTTTCAGGGTATGTTTGGGTGCTGCACTCCAAATATGGGAACAGTTTTCTAGTACAGGTCGGATCTGTGCCTTATAGATCATAAGCAGCTGACTGGAAGTGAAATAGCTCCTGACCCGAAACGGAAAACCAAGTTTTTGGGATGCACTTTTAGCAATTGATCTCACGTGATTTTCCCAAGAAAGTTTATTGCTGATAGTAATACCAAGCATCGAAATGGATTTCTTTAAAGGTATGGTTCGGGTATGGTTACTCCTGACAAGCATATGTTGGGCACAGTGAGATCGGTTTTTCTAGAGAAAAGGCATGCTTGTGTTTTGTTTGCATTGAAATCTACCAAGTTATTGGATCCCCATTCGAGAATTATTGCCAAGTCCATATTTATGTTGTCAACATTTCTTCCTCGTTCGTTTCTGATTTGCCTGGTTGGTATTGGAGCCCTGGAAGAGAAGGCGGTATGGAGGGTACTATCATCCGCGAAGCTGTGTACTGGACATGCAGTTGCTTCCAACAAATCGTTGATATGGAGAAAAAATAGTGTTGGTGCTAGAATTGATCTTTGCGGAACACCAGCATTTATGATACGTGAGTCAGATGAAACTCCGTCGACCACTACATGAAGAGACCTTTTTGAGAGAAAACTAGCTAGCAGAGACCATAGCTGGGGAGGCAAGACATAAGATGAAAGCTTGGCGAGGAGTCCGTGGTGCCAGACTCGATCGAATGCCTTGGAGATATCAAGTGCCACGGCTAAGGTTTC